GTTTTGTTTAAGTATAGCATTCTCGTAGTGAGATGTTCTTTTTTCTCTAAAATAAAGTTGCATTTACACGATAACCAAGTTGTGTCCGATAGTGGACTGGGGCAAAATTGGCCAGGAGAGAGAGTGAGAGTATTTTTTTAGATGCCCCTCTGTTCCCAAAATGCAGGAATGTAATACTATAGCACCTTCGGAACAAAGAGGACAAAGGTAGATTTCTGCTTTGAAACAAGAAAACTTAGATGGTTATTTCAAATCAGTAGTAGCCACTTACAGGTTCCGTCCTTTGTAATTCGCAATTCACGCGTCTAAACATTTCCTGTCATTCTCAGATGTTTCACGTGAAAACGTTTAACTTGACCAAGCGAAGAATGAAGGTGATTGTGGCGAGTCGTGGAATTAACAGTGAAAACACGGGTCTATACAGTCAGTTTCGCCAACAAAACTTGGGAGGAGAGTGAAGCGCATTGCTTATGGGCGAAGCTATGGGACATGTAAGTTCTCGACGAGATGTGACACTTCGCGGGCAGACTAGATGCCTTGTCTGTAATGTAATTAAAATTGGAGTGGAAATGAAGGTGAGCGAAGGAAACGTGTATCAAGTGTCACTTCCTAATTTAAAAATAATGAAATCGGAAGAAACTCAAAATAAAATAAGAAGGCTCACAAAAAAAAAAACTGTCACTCACACCAATAAAATATCAAATACTGTTGATAACATTGTAATAAGTGTCGGTCTGGATAGTGGCAGTGAATCGTCCATATAGCGACACGGATACTCTCAGGCACCAGCCAGGAAACTGCATCAGAAACTGATACTCTCCTACGAATCAGCTGATGTCTCATGAAATATAATTTCAGACACAAAATGAAATTATTTCTTTCTCGCACTTACTAACGTAGGAAGATAAAGTAATGTAATCGTGTGCCGGAAAACTGCGAATTTTTTACACAAAATCTCTTATTGCCGGGCCCTGGTAACGAAAAAGAGGATAAATCCAGTTGCTAAATGTAGAAAAAAATCTCTAACATCTGGTGTAGCCAGAACCCATGTTTTGTGGGTCCTTCATACGGAAAAATCGATTGACGGCAAAACGTCTGTCTGTCCGTCCGTCAGTCCATCCGTCTGTGCACAACGCTAGCGCATTCACCGTTCAGCCAATTTTCTCAGAAATTGATTTTCTCCAATCGTTCTAGCTGATGTCGCGGACTCTAGAATTTGAAATCGATTTTATTTTTCCTTTTCCTACTTAAAATGAAGCCCCTGGGATATTTTCAAAGTAGTGGATTCAAATTTTTTTAAATTAAATTTTGTTGTTGAATTGTGCAAAGGATGTATATCTAGGATATATACTCTCTGAAGTAGGTGGTGTTGGTGCAAAGCAATGACTGGAAAGGATGTGTTTATCAAAAACAGATTTTCAAATAAGACCATGTTCAATTTTTTTCAATTTTAAGACTAATTTTGAGAAAAAAATAATGGCCGGTTGAAATTTATTCCGCTTTGTTGTCGTAATTCCCGACATTTGGATGCTTCATAGTACGTTTGAATTTGTGTATTTCATAATAATGTATACCAAATGTTTTACGATTTGTAATGAGTAGGGTTGGGTAGCATTTAAATACTTATATAAATATAAAATACGTATATACGTATAAATTATTCACATGTTCATCCACGCCAATTGAATGACATGTTTCCCTTTGCAGGTTTTATGTATTCGCCACCGAGGGGCTTGTCTGATGATTTGATTAAAAAATCAGTCGTTTTTAAGGATATTTCATTTCTTTCTGTTTGACATATTTTTGATATAATTTTATATTTGAAAGTGGTTATACATATGGTCACAATACATTACAATATTTATTGTTCAGAAATTTGTGTGACTACCAATTACTAATGTATTGTAATCGACAAAATATTGTTGTAATAAAAATATTTAGTAAAAAATTGTTACATCTTTACATTATTTTGAGTTCAATGTACTTCCTAGAAATAATATTTAAATGTTGAACATTTGTGCACGTAAAACTTGCAAAATAACAAGCCATTATCCCGAAGGCAGACGTTCGTGCGCTTTTGAGAGCATCGGGACGGAAACGCGCAAGTCGGCAACACCGTACACGTAGCGCGCAAATCGAGCGACTTGTTTCTTTAGAGTTCTTACATTTCCCTCGGTGTACTGGAAGCAATGGAAATACCCTCACTACTAGAAAATCTTATTGATATTAAGTAGATTTTCAGCAAAGCTGAAATTTAATGGATATAATACAAATATAAATGTTGCTGGATAGGAATTGGAATGTAGAAAACTTTTGAATTTTTATAAGTTTTGGAAAATATTATGTATTATTTTTTATTCTAGTTGTTAATTCAATTTTTAAATAAATACGAAAATGAATGAATATTTAAACATTTAAAATTTTAGCTATTCCTTTTCCTTTACACCGAAGCACCTGAACAAAAAAAAAGAACTCCAACGTTTTTGATTAAATTTCATTTTCAATAATATGAAGGACATTTATACAATAGGTGCCAAGTCTCACTTTCGATGAAATT